CCAACTATAGTGGGCTCCCCGACAAAGGTATGGCAAGGAGTCGGCTTCTGGGTTTCTCGCGGCTCGATCCTTTGGGTTGTTTGAGGGTGAACTGCTGCCCGATCAGATAACTCTGACCTGGAGTTACCCCGCTTGTTCGCTTTTCTTCAAGGGCTATTTAGTGATCTGTGTGAAGCGGGGTAGTGTCCTAGTTCTTAGTGGATGGATCTCACTTGGCAGCAGCGTTCCCCATCTGAGCAGAGTCCAGGGTTTTAAACAGACAATGGAGAGGAGCTGCCCAGATTAGGCAGCAGCGCATTAGTGAACTGCGGTGCCGGGCTGTTTGCACACAGCAGCTCTGCTTGTGACACGAGCGTGTCCCCTTTTCAGCGGAGACGGCAGACGGTTAAGCAGGTGACAGCCCTGGTGTCTCAAGTGAAGCTGGCACTGTGACAGTGTTTTCTCTGCTTATGTTAGGCTGCTACAAATTTTCAGCAGAGTTTGTTCTTTCATTTTAGTCTTTGTGGGAATGGGGGTGAGTAACTGCATGGGTTGGGATTTTTACCTCTTTATTTCAGGCAGCTTGTTAAAAATTTAATTTTGATTAACAAATGGGGCAGCAAGGGGAACCTTCCTCCTTTGTTTTAAAGACAGATCTCTGTTTTTTCTGTTCTTCTTAGGCTGTGTCCCCATTTGAGTTTCCCAAAACGCCAAGTTCCCAGAATCTCCTCACCCTCTTGGCCCATCAGGGGGTCATGATGACTCCAACACGGAACAAGACCTTGCCAGATCTGAAGGAGATGGGTCATTTCCACTGCCAGCAAACTGGCTTGGGACTGAGGCCTGTGGAAGAGATCAAGGGCAGGTGAGCTATAGTCTGCTTTATACGGTGGTGCTTTGTTCCCTAATATGGGATGGATGGGGCAAATTCCAAACCTCAGCCAACATTTAAACTGTAGTATAGCATCTGCAAACTGCTAGCAGATGTGTAATGTCTTCTGCAGTGGCAGGCCATGGCCTAGATTTTAGAAAATGAAAGATTGTCTGCAGCTTCACACTGCATTTAGTGTCCGGGGTTTCATCAAGTGGGGATCAAGGATTTCGTTATTAGACCAGACTCCTTGCAATTATGCAGATGGCGTCCCTTGCTCTTTGTGGAGCCTGTGCCTGTCGTGGATGAGAGGGCGTTGTGGGTGTTCCTTGGCACCGGTCTTCAGACCAGAGACCTGTTTGAAAGCCACATGCTGACTGTCATGAGCGTTGCGGTATACAAAGTCACTCAGATGTTAGTGTTAAGTTTTTCTTACGTGCCTCTGCAGACTGCAGCTTTCTCCTAAAACTGTAGAGTCCTCCTCTGATATTAGTTTCCATATCTTCTACCAAAGAAGAATGGTGTTACAATAATGCTGTAGTCAGTACTCGCGTTGCTGCAGTTAGTCACAGTAGTTGTATGCAGGAGGTGCTTCAGATGCCCTGTTGAAAGAGGAAGAGTGGTTATTTCAGCTCCAGGCTGTTTGCTGTGTAGTGTGAAGTGGTTGCGGACCAGGAATGGCACACACCGGAGTGGAAGCAGCTGAAACCTTGTGCCTGTTGACTTTCTGCATCATGTCGTATGTCCTCTTTTTAGATCTCTGAGCACAGGCAGGCTCACTGACCTGCTTCTGAAGGCAGCCTTTGGAGCGCAGATCTCCGAAGCTGGCAGCAACGACAGCCTGAACAACGAGAAGCCGATGGAAATTGCAGGTAAGTGAGGAGGCCAGGCAGATCTGGCAGGATGTCCTGGGCTGGGGCGAACAGTTTTCCTGCATGCAGCCATGGGAGGCTGCTTTTCTGGTGGCTTTTGGCAAAGGGAGTGACTGTCGTGTGTGAGGAGAGTAAGGATGTTTGCTTTCTGTTGTGGAGCGCTCGAAGGTCTGTGGGCTACGCTTGCTGTGCAGTTGCTGGCTAGTGGTGTGATTTTTGTAGGCAGGGCTTCCTCTTTTGGCCCCTTCTGAATGTGATAACACGTGGAAGTGGGGACTTTCTGCCAGGCGGTTCGAGTATGAATGGCTCTGCAAGGGTGGGTCTTCCTGGGCTTGCAGGCTGGGAAGCGAGGAGGGGAGAACAGCTGCAGCAGTGCGTAAGGCTGCCCAGGCTCGTGTCCTGTAGTCCAAGCCAGCCTGGCCCACTCGCGTTGCCGGGGGATGCCTCCGAAGGGCGCGCTGGCCTGTGCTGGTAGCCACTGTCTCCCGAGGGAGTCTGCAGGAACATACAACTGCTGGGCGAGGCACCCTGTGCTCGGAGTAACTTTCCTGTAATGCCAGTCTGCACCTTTCAACTGTCTCCCCAGCTCCCTCAGGTGCTTACGGAGGGACCCTGCACTCTGGTGCCCGGGCTGGGGGCTCTGCCAGCCCATCCCCAGTGATTTTTACTGTCGGATCCCCTCCCAGTGGAACAACCCCCCCACAGACCACGAGGACCAGGATGTTTTCAGGTAAAGGGCTGATACCTGCCTGTTCCAGTGGGAATGCCTCGGGGCAGAGCGGTGTGTTGAATTCCTTGGTGCTGGCAGAGGGCTGCTCAGAGCACAGTCCGGAGAGCTCAGCTGGTCTAAATGCCTTTGAGGTTCTCACGCTGGCTACTGCCAGCCCGTTAATTGCTGATAACTGTTTGCACTGGCACAAGGATTGATGCCATATAGTGCTTTTCCAGTACTGGAAGAGAGAGCCAAACTGCTCTTTTACTTCATTTCTCTTTGCTTCAGGAATAATGCTGCAGCTGTTCATAGACCCACTGTTGATAAGTCAACAAACATAAAGATTTTGTTGTGTTCTGATTGTTTTCCCTGTGGGTTTTGGATGAGCTATAAAAGGGGAGCATGACCATCCATGCCCACCAATTTCAGTGCAGAAGTACCATTAGGAAAGGGCCAGGATGGCTCTGTATGCAAAATTGTTCGTGGTGTTACCTGTACTCTGAGCCGCTGAAGTAGGAAATGGGGCAGTGCACTCCCACTTGACAGATACTTCTTTTGACACTAGTGCTGTGGCCTCGTCAGCCAACAGTTGAGGCTGTGGTAATTGCCCCTTTTGGGATAGTGTGTCTGGGAGCTGGACTCTATGTTCAGTTTAAGAAAGTATTTGGACACACTTATTTGCATTTTTGGCTTGTTTGGGTTCTTGTCTTGGCTGTTCGTCATCTGAACGTAGTCAACTCTGTTGTTCTTAATTACTGCAGGGAAGGTTTGGATGTAACCTTGAATAAGCTGCTTGGCTGGGATGGGGGGACACATGGGCTCAGTTCCTGGGTATGGCTTGGATTTCCATCGTAACTGAAGCCGCTCACATCCTTGATTGTCTGGAAAGTTGGGACCATAATCCTTTCTTTGTCTCATCTGTGTAGAGGGTGAGCTCTGTAGGGCAGGGACTCTTACAAAGTGTCTGACGGGCCTGTAGCACAGTGGGGTTACTGTCCTGGCTACAGCCTCTAGCTACTACTGAACTGTTATGAATAGAGAATTCAGACTGCCTGTGTTGCTTTTGCGTGGATAAGAGCAATTTGGAAGCAGATCCAAGCACCAGTTTTTAGTAGGTTGAAACTTGGATGCTTAAGAATCTGCCGAACAGTCCAGATCTCAGATGGGATGCCTGGAAGAGAAGGCTGTTGAATAATGAACCCACAACACGTACACAGTGTTGGGTCAAGGCAGTCAAAGCAACGCTGCTTGAAAAGCTTTGTGTATTAGGTCTGTGCAGCAACTCCTTTGGTTAATGCACAGAGTGAATGGTGAAAAAGGGAGCCTTGCAAGCTGGAACTCTGCACCCCAAGTGCTTGCACAAGCGATGAGTAAGATCACTTGACAGATACAAAGGCAGAGCCTTTTTGTGAGTCATTGTAACAATTTTTGCAAACAGCCTCTTGGAACTATAAGTTATCCAGAATGTGATATTGTTGGTCCTTCCCTCTGTCAGAAAGATCTGGAAATACTCGGCCAATCTTTGATCCGCTTAGATTTGAAGCATAGCTGCCAACAGGGAGAGAGCTTTGGGAGCAGAGGAGACTGTGCCTCTCTGCAGATCAGTTGTGCATGATGTTGCTGAACCTTCTGAAGGCAGGGTAGGGCAGCAAATGAAATACACGGGTAGAAGAGAAACATCTCCCTGCAGAGGCTCAGTGACAGTGGAGAGTATCGCCTCGGTAGGATTAGCAGAGTATTGTAGCTGGTATTGGCATCCCCCCGTCAGACAGAATATATTCCTCTGTGGCAGCGTGTGAGGGGATGCGAAGCCCTCTGGAAGTGGCAAACGTATTACGAATACCCTGAGGCAGAAACGCCTTTTGAGGTGTCCATCTTTTCTATCCAGTGTGCTCTCAGGATGGATTCAGTGGTCAAGAAGGGGAAAAGATGATGGTGAGGGAATTGTCTGGTGGACACCGTACTTACAGGGTTTCCTGGATCCTGAGGTTAGGGTCTTGGCTCAGCTGAAGTCACTTACTCTCTGCCCAGCCTCCTATTTGTAAAGAGGGGGAAGGGGGAAGCAGAAGTGCAGGGCGTGTGTTGGAAAGCTCTCCTGGTTTGCATGGAAGTGGTCGATGTTTTAAAACCCTGATAAAAGCCTCACTTACCAGAGGTGCTCATCCAGTGACAGTGTAAAAGTTAGGGAACCAGGGTTCAAACCATGCTGAGCTGTGATGGGAAAGTTGGCTATGGCGGCGTATGATAAAAATCAGCCCAAGATATTGTGGCAGGATTCAGAAAGGGTTTGGACAAACAGAAAAAAAGAATGCTTCTGAATTGTCTCCGTAACTGACAGACATTCTGGAAGGTGCATTAAATGTGCTTGAGCTTGTAAGCTGGTCTACCTGAGTCGCTAAGGAGCTGATGTTGGGGAGTGGTTGTTCTGCATCAAGACTCCTTGCGTCTTCCTCTGAAGTCCCTGTTACTGGCTCCTGTCAGATCCAGGATCCTGGATCCTACAGGATTGTCCCCTTGCTGGGTGAGGAATACCTGGCCTAATAGTAATATCTTCAGTAATTCCTTTGCCTATTTTTGTTTTCAGTGGGGTCTTCCAGCTCTCTCAGTTCTGGAGGCTCTGTCACTGGCAGGCACTTGGCGGTGGGAACTGGTGGTGATGCTGTGGAAGGCCCCTCGAGTCTCCGGTATGCTTTTGCTGATCCGATCACCGCCAACCTGGAAGGTGCTGTTACATTTGAGGCCCCAGAGCTGCCCGAGGAGACGCTCATGGAGGTGGGTACATCCCGGGGACTTGTTAGGGGCAAACGACGGGGGGAGTGCAAGGAAAGCAAATCCAGAGGTCAGGCGGCTCCGTGTCTGCAGCCACGGGGCTTGCTTCTGAAGATGGGGCAAACTGGCTTTAAGACACCTAGGCCAGTGCAGTGCTCAGAAAGCCCAGGGCATGTTTAGCACAGTGACTTCTGAGCCTGCTACCACACTGTTTAGTCCATAAGACAGCCCATGACCGGGGTTAAAATTCACCATTTCCAAAGCTGAAATTGCAGGTTGGAAACATCAGTTATCTGATGCATTCTGTATTAACAGCTTCTGCAGAAAACCTGGCTCCTTTGGGCCTTTTCCCTTTTAAAAGGTTCAACATCAGTAATAGCTGACTCGGGAGCGTGAGTGGCTTGGTGTATCAGCTGGCTGCCGGCACTTGGGGAGTCAGGCAGCGATACGGCCTCTGCTGAAAGGATCTGAAAAAATAAAAAATAACCCCGATGCTTCTGTTACTAATGGGGGCGGGGGGACACCACGTTCTGCACCAGAACAGCTGAACCAGATTGTCGAGCTGAAAGGCTGCCAGACCCCTCTCTGCAGGCTGAAGGCAGGCTGAAGCAGAGCAAACGCTTTTGAAGCTGAGATATATTTGAAATGTAGGTCAGGCTGCCCATTTGCAGTAGAGGTGGGAGGCAGGTTCAGTCACGGTTTCAGCTCTGCTCATGAGACCTCCTCGGGCTGTCTGGGACCGAGGAAGGCTCTGTGTGTCTGAGTTTTGCTGGTGTTGCTAAAAACCCCTAGATACCCACAGAGATATGCACACATTGTTTTAAGGATGTGGGTTTACTCTTTTACTTCAGATTTAATTTAGCTCAATTTTTTTGTCAATTATGCATTGAATTGCATTCGTTTGCTTAATCACCTGCAGAGCCACAAGGCTAGGACTTTCAGCCTTGATATGATCAAAATAGTAGTGAGTTTAACTGAGCATCCTACCTGTGCGAGGTCCCAGAAGTATGGGGCCCTGCCAGCTGCCACTTCGGATGCTGGTCTGAAGAGAGATATCCTAAGGAAGTGTCAACGTGATCTTCTTAATGGCACTCAGCCCAGCTTCTGTGTCTGTAATGAGTCAGTTGGGTTCGGTCATCATTTCTGCTGAACTCAGTGATCCATTGCATGTCACAAAACCTTGACAGCGTATTTTGAGATCGCTTTGTGCTCTGTGGAGTTGGCCAGAATGCAAACCTGGCAGATTTTCTGATGTCTGCTGCTACTTTCAGGACATTGAAATCTTATGTTTAAGCACCCTTGTTTATCTTGAGCAAAGCTGCCGCATTCAGGTGGGTGGTTTCTTCAATCTTTTTAAGAGTTTCTTTAGGTGCAGACAAGGCAAATTGAAGGCTAGCTTTTAGTTTCTTTTGTGGTGCTTTAAAAACACAACACAGAGGTGGTTACGGAAGGAAAGACTCTTGTTATGCCAAGTGAGGCCATGAATGCCAGCATAATTGATAGAAGCCAACTGTATAAGCAGAGAGGAAGGACTGTGCCTTGGTTAGAGATGCCAGGCTGAGACCAGCAAGACCTCAGCAGTTTCCTGCTCTGCCACAAACTTCTTGTATGACTTGGCAATTACTTAATCTCCAAGTTCCTCCTGTGCTTTTAAAGAAAGTAGAGGAAGAGGGAGATAACACTTTCTTACCTTACTGGACTGTCCAGGTAGTGAGACAGTGGGAGGAGAGATTTGTATTTCAGAAATTCAAAGCTGCCTCAGCGGCCAAGTGTCTGAGCCAGTGAACGAAAACCAAAAGCTTGCAGAACTTGAGCATGGGGGTGGTTTTTGATAAATTCATGTGGGAAGCATCCTTACCAGCCCCCTTTGAGAGATCTGAGCCACTGAATATTTGAAGATCAAGCAGGTTAGCCACTTCTCCGCAGGGAGCATGAACAATGGAGTTGCATCTGATCCAGGCAGCAATTCATTTTCTAGGACCCACAAGCATTCAGTTTTTCCACAAATACTAACTTCCCAAAAGTGTTCTCAGTGACTTGAGCAATGCAGCTGCCCAGAATTGGGATAATCCCCTTTGATCTGTAATAGCAGAGGAAAAACTGCGGTGTTGAAACAAACACAGCGCTTGGTGTGTATGCCCCTCGCTCAGTGGCGAGGAGTTGCAGATAAAAGGTTGTCCTGGCTGTCCCTTCAGAGGACCTCAGCCAGGGCTCCCTGCGCCTACTGGGAGGCTGTAAGCACCGAGGGCTGGGCTGTGGGATGGGACACACTGTGTTTGCAGTTTTCTCTGGTGTAGGAGGTTGTCACTCTCAGGAAATGCACACCCGCTTTCAGTTTGTACTGTGGTGGGGACCAGGGCTGGGGCCGTGGTACAGATCGTCTCTGCCCCTTCCTGGCTGACTCTGAAGGAGTCCCACAGAGCTGGGATCCTCCTTGGCAAGGGGGCATGTAACTGGAGCAAGTCTCCCCAGCTCCTCCAGGGAGCTGCCTGCAAACTCCTGGCCTGGGACTGTCGTTTGCTGCTGTTACTGTGGAGGAGGAGCTGGAGTGGTGTGGGGGCTTGGAGCTGAGTTTGGCTGTCCCTGCCCAAGGCAGAGGTGTAGGGATTTGGGGGGCCCGGGTGTGATTTCTGTAAGCCGGGATGAGTTGCTGGCACAGCTCTCAGCGAGCAGCTCTCCCCGGCGTGCCAGCTTTCCCTCCGTAACCCCCGCCTCGGCGTCCCTTCAACAGCAAGAGCACACTGACATCCTGCGCAGCCTCCGCTTCACGCTGGCCTTTGTCCACTACGTGATGGAAATTGCCGCCCTGAAAGGCAGCTCCAGCGAGATGAGCAGTTCAGTCACCTCTGAGTACCAGCTCCAGGAGAGCGTGGTGGCCGACCAGATCAGCCTCCTGAGCCGGGAGTGGAGGTAAGGACCGGGCAAAGAGCCTCCCAGCTCCCATGTCTGCTGTCACTCCCTCCCACCCCACGCATCCTGATGTACCAGAAGTCCTTCGGGACGTGTATCCTGGTCCCATCGATCTCTTTGCCTTGCAATGTGCTTTCTTTGCAGCTATGCAGAGCAGCTCGTGCTGTACCTGAAGGTAGCGGAGCTTCTGTCCTCGGGGCTGCAGATGGCCATAGAGCAGATCAAAGCTGGCAAGCTGTGCCTGTCCTCCACCGTCAAGCAAGGTAAGAGGCCACTGGGCACGTGGCACGAAGGACTCGCCTGGAATGGGAATATGAAAAGTATCGCAAAGGGTATGGAGGGGGTTGAGTGCGCGTGAACCCCCACTGCTATGCCCGCAGGCGTATTTCTTGCTGTCCCCGTGCACAGCTGGGTCTTTTTTATGCACACTGAGGGAAGTGTTCCTCTCTTCCCGTTGACTTCAGGTCTCAAAGCTCTTGCTCGTGCCCCTGTGAGAATCTTCAGCATTAATTACTGAGAGGGGAATGTGTCTTATCTGATTCCTTGTACATCTCTGTCTCAGGTGCTTATTTGTACTTGACGTAAGTCCAACTTAATTACACAGTGTATGTCCTAGGAAGCGCTTACTTGGCAGATGGAGACCTGTTTTGGCAGTGATGGTTTTTCAAGTGAAACAAAAACACAGGAAGTAAAATACTGGTAATGCCAGAGTCACTTCTTCGCTAGTGTTACGGCCTTACATTTGCATCGGACTGGCTGGCTTGTGCTGTGAGCTGGCTATGATTCAGTGATTAGAAAAAATAATTTTAAAACTACCCTTGTAATATTACTGAGGGAGCTTTTTGAAGCACTTGAAGTACTTAACCCATCAGCCACCTTCCCCAAGAGCTTAGTCTTTGAAAGTATGCGTGCTGCCTTGGGATGGGGTGTGAGAAAAGAGAAGTTAAATACAGTGAGCACACGCGCGTTGTAGCAGGCAGCATGGAACAAGATGCACGTCTTCCGCGTGCGCAGTCTACCAGGAAAGTTGCCATAACCCCAATAAATCACTCCTTTTCAGGGCAGATTGCAGCTTCTAGATTCGCAGTGTAATTTGCCATTCAGTGTGTGGCAGTTGGGCAAGGCTGTCTTGTCTTGTTTCTTTCCCCACAAAATGCTGCTCCGTTGAGGGTTTTCAGGGCACAGTGAGGGCATGAGGGCTTTCAAGGTACTTGTGTCCCATGTCTATGGAAAAAGCAGGGAAGCACAACAAGACACTGCCCTGGAGTGTCCTTCAGCAGCGTGTGCCTGGCAGGGTCCCTACCCACAGCCATCCTCTTTTTCCTGATAATTTGGGCGCAGCTCGGAGCGCTGATTGGATTCCGTGGAAGAGGATATTGCTGTATTGGTGTGTTGTTTTGGTTTTTAAATAGTCTCTGTTGACTCGCTTCTCATGGAGTTTTTCATTTCACCCTCCTGATGTCACCCATGAGCTTTGGGGTTCCCACTCCCTCTCAAGTTCCTTCTGAGCAAGGGTGATCTGACAAGGGTGACCCCTGGCAGGGTTACGGTTTTGTGCCTTGGTCCTTTTCCCTGATGAAGTGACAGCAGCCTTTCTTCCTGGAGGCAGTCTCTGCTCTGGCGCTCTGCTCTCTTACCTCTGCCTGGAAAGGCTAGATTTAGTCGCAGGGCCTGGCTGTCATGTGAGCTTGCCCCTCTGCATCGTAGCTGAGAGAGGCTGACTCATGGGATGGGTTAATTTGCCTCCCCCAGGAGCAAATTATGCAGCGTGGGTATTTTCAAATGTGCACGTAGCAGTAATACTCATCAGATGTTGGTGGGAGTTTGTATTCAGTACTTTGTGTAGATTGTGCCAGGCAGCTAGGGAGACTCAAGCTGGTGGCATCGCTTGCTGTTTTGGATTGTTATTTAATCCCTAAGAATCATATTTGATTCCTGGTTCTCTGTCCTGTAACCTCACTGTTGGAGCTGCTGTGGTTCAGGAAAGGAGGTGGCTTTTCACAGGCGTCAGTGTCTTGTCTTTTCTGGGACAGGAGAGTCCCGAGAGAGTCTTCCTTGCTTAGTCAGTGCTGCTCATCCACACTTAGCTCCAGCAGCTACCACATGCAAGTCACGTACTTCTTCACAGCACGTCATCACCCGTCAAGTAGCAGAAGCTTTGTATCTGGCACGTCGGTTGCTTCTGGTGGTGCGTGAGACACCTTGCGTGGTGCAGACTGCTCTCTGCCTTGTGGCAGCTGAAGGAAACAAAAATACACCTGGCCTCAGGTGAACTGGGCACAGGTGTAGGTGTTGCCACGTGCAGGCTTATAACTGGTGAAGGTGACAGAGGGAAGGAAAAAGACGCTGTTGGTGCAGCAAGTACTTTCCTGCCAGTCTTTTGGCTTTAAGATAACCCCGTTGTCTTGAAGTTACTCATTTGGGGTCCTGTGCATGGAGATTGGGAGGCACAGGGAGAACTGGAAGTAACACCTAAAGCATTTCTTTCCTTTACTGTAGTTGTGAAGAAGCTGAATGAGCTTTATAAATCCAGCGTATCATCCTGCCACTGCCTTAATATGAGGCTCCAGAGGTTCTTCTTGGACAAGCAGAAACTCATGGATCGGATCAACAGCATCACCGCAGAGAAGCTCATCTTCAGCTATGCTGTGCAAATGGTAACAACCATGAATAACCATAGAGTGCCTGGGAGCAGGGTTGGCCCAGAGCCAGCGCCAGGCATCAGCGGGTCCTGCTGGTGGCCTCAGCAGGTGGCTTTACTGCAGCTTCTGGAGCCTGGGCGAGGGAGGTGTTTGCGCAGCTGAGGGGCCATGCTGCGAAAGCTGGGCCTGGCCTGGGAGTAACCTCTTGGCATGGGGTTGTTGCCTGCAGGTGCAGTCTGCAGCCCTGGATGAGATGTTCCATCACAGAGAGGACTGCGCACAGAGGTACCACAAGGCTCTGCTGCTGATGGAGGGGCTCCTGAACATCATCACTGAACAGGGGGACATAGAAAACATCAATAAATGTGAGTGTTCAGTGACTTTTGTTTTTTTCCTCCCACTAGAACGTATTGTTTTTCTAGCTGCATGGAGCAGAAATTTCAGTACCCAGCATCCTTTTTTCCTTTGGGTACATCTTGGTGGACATCGCGGAGATCTCTTGGCTTTTTACAGCTCCTCGCAGCCTGGCCTCCTGCTTTCCCAGCAGGAAGACTGTTAGAAATGCAGGTCCCTGTTCAGAGACATATTTTGAGAGCTTCCCATGCAGAGTGATTGCCAGGGCTTTGCTGGAGCGTTTGACATGTGAAAGAGCTTGCTGAAGGAAGTGGTTTGGCAACAGCAGGGTCCTGGTTTTGGTTTCCAGTGGGAACCATCCCTCTGATTGCATAGGGCACTTGGGAACGTGAAACAGCAGTGGCTGTTGGGCAGAGGTGGCCGATCAGCACAGGGAGGGCTCCTTCCAACACATCTTTTGAACCAGGACTGCTCGCCTGTCTGGTTCCCCAGTCCCAGGCGTGGCTGAGAAGGCAGCAGAAAAATGTTTTTCTCATCAGCAAGCGCCTGCTGTAGCAGTGAAAGCTGAACTCTTCCCTACTTGCTATCATTTGGCTTCCTTTCCTGGGGACAGACGGACCCCTCTGTCTGCTGCTCCGAGCTGTCACCTCTCCCGCTTTCTCCCTTTGTCGTAAGGGGCGTTACTCTCCGCAGCGAGCACATGTGGAGGGGAGAGGACTGACCTGCTGCGAGCGCACTTTCCCTGCCCTTCTGGCTGGGGTTTAATCACTTCTGTCATCTCTCTCTACGAGAGGCAGATGGAGGCGACCCTGCTTCGGCAGGGGGGTTGGACTAGATGACCCACAGAGGTCCCTTCCATTCTGTGATTCTGTGGAGGGGACAGGCGATGGCTGCTGTCTGTTAGAGCAGCCTGGCTTGGCCTTGGCTCCTCCCC